GGGGAGGCTGTGGCCGTCAGCGGCCGCCGAGCTGCTCCGAGGCTTTGTTGCTCCTCCGCCAGCTGAATGGGGATTTTGTAAAGCGGGACAGATAAAAATGAGCAACATCATATTGTTTGACAGAATGATCCCGCATGATGAAGTGTCGGCTCCGAAGGGGGTGAAAATGGTGAATTCCTAAAAACCCAGCCCTCGGCTCCTCCGCGAGCTGGCGACAGCCTGGAGGGACCCAGCGGACAGCCGGGCCAGGTCGCATCGCACCAAACAGTGTCGGAAAGACTCCGGTTTTCAATGCCAAGTCATTTTTAAGCTCCGATTCTGCCCAGGACCTTTCTCCTCGCGGATGAAAAGAACAATTTTCGAGAGAAAGGCTCGTTTTGATTAAATCTGACATGCTGCTGATAACTCCATGCTAATGTGAAATAATTAACATAATAGCCATAATTAAAAGCACGCTAACAATGCCATAAATTTATCACACAATTTTACTAGCTTTCTGCCCCTAACTGCTCTCTCATCGTTAATTAAACGTGTTGCCTTTTACAGAATGGATGTTTATACATTTCCAATATAAATAAATTCGAAACCATCCTCTATCTCTCTCTCCTCCTTTCCTTTTGGTCTCTCACCATTTACAGGCAGGTCTTGGCGCAAACCCTTTAGTGGCAGACACCTTGAAAATAAATGAAGTTTTGAGATGCAAATCCAAACAAGAACATTTAATTAGCCTCCCTTTTTTTTTTCTCCCCAAGAGATCTGGAGGAGTATGGGAGTGGGAAGTGAGTTGAAAACCCCACCCACTGGGAAATGGAAATAATCTGAGTAGGTTGGGGCCCCAGGTATCACCTCTGTCCTTTCCATCTTCCTTGGAGGCGGCCATCCAGACAAAGAGGTGGGCTATAGTTTAACAAATCCATGACGATTGTCAAGAAGGAGCAGACTTAGGTTCTTGGGCAGAGGGGGCAGGAAGCACTGCAGTTCCCGTCTCCCCGGATTGTAAGAAAAGTGCATCCACCCAGCACGATGATTCTGTCTCACCTCGCAACAATTTATTCGATCTACTGGCATAGTCTCTGATTTAGAATAGACGAACAAGGGCCCCCCGGGATTGCTTGGGCCTGGGGAGGGCTAGTGGACCATTCCTGCACTCCCTCCCTGACTATGCCCCCTCCTCTGGGGTTGACCACTTAAGAACCCAAATTGAACTGTAATTAATTTCCCCTTCTCCATCATAAATTGTTGCATCCACATTTCTACTCCCCCTACCCCCCAGGACGCACATACTAAATCTCCCCTCTCCTGGAGACATCTCAATTTCTTATCGATCTGAAGTCTAGACTACTGGTCTCTTGTTGCTAGAACCTAGGTCCCTCCTCTTCAACACAGGTCTGCCCCAGTGGCTTCCCCTGCAGGACTCTGCCCACCCCCTCTTCCGCCCCAGCTACTGAGGGAGTTTCAATGTATTCTCCTTTGGTTGAAACGTTTGAAACACTTGAGCAGGTGAGACAGCTGGCTGCCATCCTCCTCTTTAAGTCTCTCCTGGGAAGTTTGCTTGTTGTGACCCAAGTAGCCACTCTCTCTCATAATTGTGTTTCTGTGTGTACTCCTTCTCCTGTCTACCCCCGTATCCCGCTGAGACTCAGAAAATGCTGATCCACATCTCTTTCCTTGCTTCCCCCTTCCATTCTTTTTAATCACCCTCCCCACCCCAAAATACGTCCTTCTGTATCTGCCCCATCTCGGTCCTAAAGTTTGATGGTAGCTGACCACTTGTGGGTTTTTAGCTGCAAACTTCAAATACCTGGCATACAATTTACTTAGTGGGTGATCTAGCTAGCCTTAGGCAGGACCCCGCACAGAGTCAGCGGTCAGGCTCAGGCCCTTCCGCCCGGCAGCCTCCTGCAGGGAGAACCTTCCAGTTTCTGACTGGCAGCCCCTTCAGCTCCTTCCCACCCTGGGAGATTGTGCAGGCACTACAGTCAGCCAAGAAAGAGACCTGTTCTCAAACGGAAAGAGGCTGGCAAAAAAAATCCTATGCTTTCTCTAGAAATCGATATTAAGCAGTTGGGCCCTCGCAGGGCCGTCGGGGCAGCAGCCAGTAGGTCCTGCACGTCTCATCATTTAGCTAATCGAGTCGAAAAGTTTCTGTAAGGGCCGAACCCAGCATCAGATGGTAACACTGATTGAACAAGAGATTAGTACAATAGATCTCTAACCGAGGGGAAGCGTTGCTTTTCACGCTATGCGCCGTAATTAATGGTATGAATCAATTAATTTGACTTTTATTGTGTCGAAGGAAAAAAGCGCAACAAATGGAACCGGCAGCTGGGAGTTGTTCATTCCCCCCCCACCCCCTTCCCTAGGGAGGTTCCAAAGAGGCACCTGGGAACCGACTGATCTGGCCTGGCCTTGGCGGAGGGAGGGTAAGAGGCAATGACCAGCGGAGTGGAGGCAGTTCCGAGAGCCAGTCCGGGCAGGAGATGGAATCAAAATTAGGCTCATTTGGAGGCTACCTCCAGACGGTCAGCGAGGGCAGCCCCGGAGCCGCCATACTCTCGCACACGTACACACGCACTTCGAGGCCACCCTAGGGCCCATGCTACGTCCTGCGCCTGGCCGGGCAACCCAAGCTGGAGACATGTTTCTGAATTTGTAAATGTGGGCTTCTTTCTTCCTGTCCTTCAGATCTTCCTTTCAGTTGCTCTGCAGCTCGGGGCTGTGGGCAGCCAGTTAGCAGCTCAGCTCGGTTTCACTGGAGGCTGTCTAGACCTCTTTGTAATAGGTTCGGAGCCTGCTGGCCACAAAGCAGTGCAGCTGTGGAAATCAACTCAAGAGGCACATTTTAGGATCTGGTGCCTCTCCCGGGATCATTTAGATACAGAAAAACTGCAGGGGTTCCCAGGCAGGATGCAGAAACTAGCCCTTTCCTTCCCCCCTCCCCCAGCCCCAACCAGGACTACCCTGCGTATGGAGCCAATGGCTAGTGTTACACACGCGGAATTTTTCTAAGGGAGATGAAAGTCAACCTATGCGTCACTATGCCTGTAATGAAGCAAGTTTACAGATTTTGGGTCTTTATTCTCTTTTTGGTGCATCTAGGCCAGGGAAACCGAATTGCGAAAGGGGAAATCAGAAGCAGCACTGTGTACCCGGGATAAATTCTATTCCCCGTGTCTTCTGTAAATATTTCAGTGATTATTTCTTCTCGGACCTTCTCCCCTCCTAGGCCTCAGCCGGCAGATTGGGCTTGGGTTCCATGAGCTGGCCACACCTGGCAAGCGGTCCTGACTGGAAACCAGGGACCTAAGGAGGTAGGAAAGTCGACTTACCGGGTCAGGGACACTGATTCCCCTCGAGGTGTGAGGTCCACACGCCCTAGCATCGCCACTTACGGTTGGCACACTCGCCCCATGCCCAGGCCCAGTGAAATCCCCAGTCTTTCCTACCAACTTTGACTCTACTTGACAAGGAAACTCGTGTGCACTGGTCACATTTTCACCTCCTCTAGCACCGGCTCAGACGCTGGCTCCCGGGGAAGTCATCTTGGAGGGTCTGTCTACGTCTTAAGAGAAGAGGATCGATCTTAGTGAGCGGCAAAACAGAGCCCCAGCCCGCCCGCATGCCCCAGGCGGCCCGGGTTCCCTGAAGGCGGTGCCCAAAGCTCGGGAAGTAACCACCCACTCCCCGCGTGTTCTTCTCGCAGTCCCGATCCAGGCGCGGCGTCTAACCTGGAGGCCTAGGTCTCTTCCCAGCGTCACTGCACTTACCCAGGCCGGGGCCAATCCCGGCTCCAGCCCCAGCGCATTTCCGACTTTTTCTTATGCTAAGTCGTTTAACAACTCCAAGCAGCCAGTTAAGGCTTCTGTATTTATAGGTTCTCTTGTTATTTCGCGTCGTTTTTATTTCTCTCGGCAACTATTCTAATAGATTAATCAATAGCCATTTTCTGATCTTCCGGAACCCCCAGCTGATGCTGTTGTGGCCGCGCGAAAAAATACATACAGAAAAATATGTTCTCGTCGAGCCGGCAAAGGCAGGACCTGAGTCGTCTGGTTTGGCTGGGGGAGGCGCTCACCTCTGGTGCCTTTCCCAGAAGGAGTACAGAGGCCAGAGGGGGTGGTCTGAAGTCCGATTAGCGGGGAGCCGGGTGCGCCACCCTTACTCTTACAGCTAAAACAAACAAAAAACAAACCATGCACTACTAAGTTTTTCTTCTTAAAAATGGAATGGGGATCTTGGTCGGGGCGGGAAACAGAGGACGGGGGCAGCCGCTGGGTCCCGCGGACTCTCCCAGGCCCACGCCCTCACTCGCTTACATCCACCCACCTACACTCACACCCGCACTTTCCCTGGAACCCCGCTCTGGGATCCAGCCTGGGCGGAGGTCTCCGGGCGGATCCGAGCGTCCTCTAGGCTCTCGGGATGCGGGTCCACTGTGCGGTGCCGAGTTGTGCGTCTCTGGTCCCTTTGTTGACAATTCCCTGAACCAACTTGAGTTTGGCCGGCTCCGTGGCTGCCCTGACGTCACGCGCGGTCACGTGGCCCCGCCTCCCGCTGGATCTTTAAGTAGAAAGTAATCTATCAGGCCAGTCCTTAAAACGGGACATTCGACTACGGGGGCTTCCGCGTCCCTGACATTCCCCCCCACCCCCC